CATAGACAGACATGGGGTTTGGTAATTTCAGTTTTTTTGGGAGAAAAAATAACTGTTAAAAAAAACAAACTGTACGGAAATGGATGTCACAGCGCTCCGCTCCGTACTGCTGTTATCAGGAGAGGTTCTATGCGTGGATCCTCTCCTGATCAGACCGTGTGAAAGGGGCCTTATTATATATAGATTGTTTCAAAAATCTGTCCTGCGTGTTCCAGCAGACCTTGTTCAATGATCCCATGCCCTTTGTTTACAAATTACATAAGTATCCATAAAAGTTCAATAATTATGTAATACATATAAATATCAATCAGGCTCTGTTTAACCCTTGCAATTGGGCTATCCCTGCACTGCAAGAGTTAAATGTTAATTTTTACCTAAGGATGAAAATAAAATGATACTCACCTATACACTGTATTGGACGTGATGACTCACAGGACCTCAGACTGCTGGAGGGGAGGGGAAGAGACGCTCCAGGGACCAGTCTAACAGCCAGCCAGCTCCGAGTATCAGTTGCTGGCCAGAGAGAACCTGACCACGCTCTGTTGAATCAATACGAGAGGAGGCAGCCACATCCAATGACGTCAGATCTCATCAAGCTTTAGGCTCCATTCACACATGAGCTATTATCCACGCTAAACATAAAAAACAATGCATTGCAATGTGCATTGTTCAGACTATTGCGGTGGCCACACGTACGAAACCGCGCATCCCGCAAAATAGTCTAAGTGTGATTTTATGGGCGTATTACACTTTTTACGGCTATAGTAATAGCCACAAACATGCGGAATCCGCGCGTAAGTTAACGTTTGGCCGGTTAGTGCTACCGCTATGCGTGGATGGAGCCTAAGGCCTTGTTTACACCAAGCGCGGAGCAGGTGCAGAGCAGAGCAATTGTAGACCGGATCAAAACTGCGTCCAATGTATTCCAATGGTATTTTTTGCTCCAGTACACATCGCAGTGTGCAGTTCCAGAGCAGGTGAAAAAACTGCAGCAAGCCCTATTTTACCTGCTCTGGAACGCACTCAAAATGCCTGGAACGCACTGAAAGCCCATGTTAAATAAAAAAAAATGTTTTATATATATATATATATACATATATATTTTTTTTTACCAGACAGTGCTTGGGTGGGGTGGTCCCAGGCGAGGCTGAAGTGTGCTTTTGTCTGGGCTCAATAAAGTTTGATAAGAAATATTGAGGAGCTGTCACTCAAAACTGAGGACCCCCCCTTCTCAGCTCAATCAGTGGTGGCAGGGGCAGTCCCCACCCTGCAGCTGCATGTCACCTTGATGAAGCGGCGGATGGATGCACTTAGAATTTACACCACTCCAAAAGGTGCCCATACACCTGCCGATTATCGTACGATAATCGGCAGGTGTATGGAAGGCGTGCAAACGTTTCTACCGAGAGGTCGCACGTCTTTTGTCTCCCGAGAAGGCTTGAAAACCTGCCGAGAATCGTATGATTTTCGGCGGGTTAATGGCGTTCTCGGGAGAGAAATGCCGCACGGGCCGGTGTGCGCAAGCGCACATTGCCCGCTCAGCATTCAAATCAGCATTGGAATGATCGCAAGTACGATCTGCCTGTCCAAGATGGGCAGATCTACGAGCATTTAATTACCTTACAACCATCGCACGATGAAAGTCATGCGATGGTTGTAAGGTGTATGGGCACCTTAATGCCAGACCTTTCTTAATCCCGAGAGAAGCGGTAAGGCACCCCCTCCTACATGCAGGTTTTATTAGTTCTGGGTTTTCTTGTACCCATCTTATTTACACTGTTAAATGGCTTATTGCGCTATATTTGGGAGATGCTTTAACTTCATTTTATTGAGACATGGGGCCGAGGATCTCTCTCCCTATGCCTCTCCATTTACTATTGTGATACATCGCTGATTTAACATTTACCTCATATGAACTGCAGGGGAGATCTCTGTGGCATGTATATGTAGTTTATCTATAATCATCACATAATTTTAGTAACAGGTATACTGATGGGATGGTCATAATAATCTGGCCACTCAGTGTATAGCACCCACAAGTTAACACAGCGCTTTACATAGCGCGCATTTACATCAGTCACTGCCCTCAAGGAGCTTATTAGCGCAACTAAAACCCCAAATTTCTGTACAAAACACACAAGTTCATTTTAGTGCACAAAAACACAACATAATAGCCATTGTTTTTGTAAAATATTTAAGATTCGGCTATGCTAAGTAGATACCCAATATGCCAGGGTGAAAAATGATGTGCACTCCTGAAACAGTGACCAAATACGGTACCCCAAATTGTCTATAGGCAATGCTTTAACAGCCTGTACAGGACATGAGTTTAGAGTTTACCATGAACTATTGCTCTCACTCTGGCTCACGTGGCGATACATAACATGTGTAGCGCAATCACTGTTTTTGTATGTAGGCGCACCCAACACATCTTTACATTAGAATGTGCGCATTCGTAGGAACGGAGAACATTCTTTTTTTTTTTATTTCAATTTTTGAAAACTTTTTTTTTTTTTTTTTTTACTTAACTTTATTGCTATCACACAGTGGGGCTCACAAGCCCTATATGCGATAGTATATTAGAGGCAGAAACGTGGGGTCAGGGGAGTCAGAGCCTCACCTAGAATTATGGAGGAAAAAGCTGTCAGCTTCATGTCTGAAGCTGACAGCTTTTTCTCCATTCAGATCGGCATCTAACAGGTTACACAGCAGGGAAATCCTCCCCGCTGTGCAACCTGTCATGGACGGAGAGCCTCAGCAGTGAGGAGCAAGTGAGGGACAGGGAGGCGGCTCCTTTACACTAGCTTGGGGACTGGTTGGGGCGGGGCTTTGGTCAGCAAGTGTGGGGCATGCCTCACCCGGAGCAAGAGGTACCATACTTCACTGATTAGAGGTGAATTAGGGGTCTGTTAGACCCCTAGTGTCATCTTTCCAGTGCACAGAAGCTATTCAAGCGCAGATAGCTTCTTCTCTGGCTTCTCTCGTTGGGAAATGACAGCTGTGGAGCCGGAAGTGATGCAATTAGCACTGCCTCCGGCTTCATTCAGCAGAGAGGAGATCAGCGAATGGATGTTCACTGGTCTCCCTCTCCGCCAAATCCTGTGATGCCGTCCCGGGCCCACAGGAGGGGCAGCAGAGCCCGAGAAGCAAGGCGGGGGCACTCTTCACTGGCCCCTAGAAGTTGGCTTTACACAGCTATAGCCACCAGGAGCCTGCTTCCGGTACTGATGCATGACACACTTTGTTGGCAGCATGAAGGTTATGAGATCATTCACATTTGTGATTAGGGCTGGAGAATCGGGCATAAAAAATACACCTGTTATGTGAAATGCTTCCTTTGTGGCACTTACCAGCTTGTTTTGCTCCATAGACTTCAATGGAAACCCGCCGATCAGCACATTATTTTAGCGTGTTTTTGACAGCTGAGACTGCATTTCATTGGACAACTGAAAATTAGCTGAAAAAGGCATTGCATACAAACAGAAAACATGCGCAAAACTGCACTGAAAAGACGCGTGTAAAGCGTGCTAAAACGCTGTTGCCCTGGTGTGAACGGGGTCTAGATCAGCAGTCACCAACTGGTGGTCCGCGGACCACTGGCGGTCCACCAGCACTGCCACTCTTGCAGGCACACCCATGCCTATGTATGTGTATATATACTCTATGTATATATAGATATATTCTCATATTTGTTTGTTTCCTCATAGTGTGTGTGTGTGTGTGTGTGTGTACACAAGAATATTATATTTAAACAAAATTAATACTAGTAGTCCGTGGGATTTAAAATTATGAATTTAGTGGTCCATGAGGTCCGAAAGGTTGGCGACCGCTGGTCTAGATCACATTCACACCAGGGCAACACCGTTTCAGGACTTTTTTTAGCGTGTTTTTTTCTGCATGCTTCAGAATGTTTTCTGTTCATATCTAATAGCGTTGTAAGGCGTGTTTCCAGCTCGTTTTCAGTTGTCCAATGAAAAGCAGTCTTAGCTGCAAAAACACGCTAAAAACACACAAACACGCTGATCGGCAAGTTTCCACTGAAGTCTACGGAGCAAAACGAGCTGATAAGTGCCACAAAGGAAGCTCAGGGACCATTTCAAACAACAGGGTATTTTGACGCACAATTCAGCGCGTTTGAGTGAACAGCTCCCATAGGAATACATGGGGTTTTCATTTGCATGCATTCCAGCCCTGGTGTAAATGGGACCTCAGACAGCTGTCATTAGAATCAATGTCCCCATTGGAAGATTACTCTTCATTTCCTGTAATAGTGACAACTGTAAAATAGTGTCCATCCTGGTGACAATGATTCCAGAACACTCAGACAGCCATAACGATGACAAGGGCCCCAACATTTCTACTAACCAAAACAATAATCTGCCTAGGAATACACAGCAACCATCAGGTTTCCTATGGCCGTGTAGCCGCATCGCTGCCATTCTCTCAGCGGAACCTGAACACAGCCTGAGAAAATAACACAGCATGTGTTATGGTATAGGCCACTAAAGCTCACCACACACCTTACAATTGACTGGTACAATCTCTTTTACATCTACCAACAAGTATGTAGTACAAGAGCCTGTCTGACTGGATTCAGATTAGTCCTTATATTACATACAAGATGATTGTACGGTCGGTCTGTAACACGTGAGGTACAAATGAGTCCCTCATTCCTCAACGTGATTGCAAAGCCGCACCGACTATAACACGAACATCACCAAATACATACATGCGTTCGAAGACTTCGTTTACAGACATATTTCCCGCCAAAACTCGATCTTTCACAGGGCGTCTCGCTGACATCTTCTACTCCACAGCGCACAATAGTAGTCACGTGGACAGACGGCGATAGCCCTCTCAGCGATAGGCCGCCAGTACAGGCTCCTCCTCCTGACCGTCTACTATTGGATAGCACGGACGTCTGTAGGAGGAGTACCCAGCCTTCTTGTAGCTATGGAAACCAACAAGCAGCGTTTGTGCTGCTAGGAGACGCTGGGCCGACATATCTCTACACTCCCGGAGATCGGCAGCTATGGCCAGCAAGAAGAAAGATATTGCACTGCAGGTACAATATGTTTATGTCACCTGTCACAAATATGACGTTGTATGCTACAGAAAGTGTGTCATAAAGTTCCTGAGTAGTATTTATTACCACCTCTGATTGCAGACTATGGTGAGCAATCACCCTGATACACTGAGGGCCCTATCACACCATCCGCATAGGGCATAAAAAGCTTGCCACAATGCATCCAAAATACATGCATGTTTATGTGCAGAAACACAATCTCACATGACCTTTAATATGTTAAAAATAGGGCTGTGAAAATTAACGATTATTTTCTCGATTAATCGTTAATCTTTTTGATCGATTAAAACATTTTTGAAACTTTCTGCACGAGCGCCAGCCAAGGCATTGGCCTATACACATACAGCACAGCAATGAAGTAATAAAATGAACTAGGATCACACTAATCCAGCACGTTATTATTTTGAGTTTCCCCACTCAAGCGGCGGCCATATTGAGTGGGGCACGTGAGATTAATAACGTGCTGGATTAGTGTGATCCTAGTTCATTTTATTACTTCATTGCTGTGCTGTATGTGTATAGGCCAATGTAGTTGGATCTGTATGTGCGTTATAATTAATCAAAATTAATCAATTAATCGATTTTTTAAAATGCGATTAATCGAACACGAAAATTTTAATCATTACCAGCCCTAGTTAAAAAGGAATGTTTTCAATGTAATGTTCAATATTTTTAAATCATGAGTTTCATTTATGTATTTTACAGCACTTTACAAACAGTCCAATCACATCAGCAGGGGCATCCCTATGGTATTGACCACCTGAGGCATTTTTGTTCCAGGGGGGAAGGGACGACTGAGGATGTCGGACCGCGCTGTCAGCAGCTCCACACTGACATCACTGGTTGCCAGAAGCTCAGCAGGAGGCAAGCCAGGGCATCCCGCTCAGCTCATGGCAACTGGTGACATCAGTGAGCTTAGTGGGATGCCAGGCAGAGTGTCACACATTGCTGGGAGCTCTTAGCAACCTGGGATGCTGTGGCCACCCCCCTATGAGAAACCATCTGAGGCACCTCATTATGAATATGGCCCAGCACCCAAGGCCAGATTCCTCAATGCGCCCCCCTCCCCATCAACCCCCCCAGTGGAGAATGGCAACCAGATGGCGGGAGCGGCAGGGTTGGTTTTAATTTTTTCTTGTTTATCACTTTTTTATCACTTTTTTATTTATTTTTTTACTTTTTTTAAAAATTTGTATTTATCTTATCTTTTTACTTTTTTTATTTATCTTATTATCTTTTTAATTTGAATTCTTATTTTTTTAATTATTTTTTGCTTTTTATCAATTTTTATTTATTTCTATATTAATTTTTTTGACATTGCTATCACACAGGAGCTAACAAGCCCGTATGTGATAGCATTTGGAGGTGACAGGTTCTCTTTATTGAACCTGCCAATACAGGAGTTCTGGCACAGCACTGTGCTGGAACTCCTGTGACAGCTGAGAGGGGAAGGCTGCGAGTGCAGCTCTCCCATCTCAGTGTTCACATAGGGCAGAGAACAGGTGTTCTCCGCTCTGCTCCCCCGCTCTCCATCCTGAACTTTGCCGTGGTCCCGGGTCCCCCAAAAGAGTGGTCAGACCCTGAAAACCACAGCAGGGAGGGAGGCAGCTAGTGGGGAGAGGCAGCCAGAGGTAGGGGCAGACAATGGGGGGGGACGAATCCGCACGCTAATCATAAGTGATCTCGGCATCGCTGAGATCACTTGTACTAATCGAGCTGCAGCTTCCCAGCTCTACATATAGCTCTGCTTGCCTGAAGCAGGGCTAAATGTAGAAAAAAAGCAGTCAGGCGATAGGAATCTTACACACCTGCGTGCCTCGAGGCCGGGCCTTGGTGGCCTTGTGGGAAATCCATCCATCCCTGCCCGCACCCAAGGAGCTTGCAATATAAGATCCCCATCTCACATGCATAAGTTCACACACAATTTAGATTAGAGCCAATTAACTCACCAGCATATCTTTGTAGTCTGTGCACACAAGCACAGGGAGAACATGCAGACTTCTTACAAACTTTGTCCTGGCTGGGATCAGAACCAGGGACCCCCAGTGCTGCAAGGCAGAAGCGCTGACCACTAAGCCACTTGGTAATCCTGGCTTGAAGATCCTTGTTATGACACTTCCTGTTGTTGGATGATAATATTCTGTCCTTGTTTCCCAATTGCTCTCCTATTCTGCCTCATGCTCTTCCAGTGAAGACTATAGGCAGCCATGTCAACGCTTATTCTACTGCGGTCACCATCAGGAAGTCCACACTAATCAATAAAGCTGGGTATACATGGTTAGCATTTCATACAAATGTTCAGAAACCCCATCAGAATATTGGATAAAGCCATCAGAACTTGACAACTGTCATTCCACGTTTCGCCAAATTTAACATTTGATTTTGGAACGAGTGGAGTATCCCGATCGAAAACCACATTCACTGTTAAAACGACGTTAGTTCATGTCAATGTTCCATCCTGTCTGTCGGATTTTTGTCATCACTATGTTCGAAAACCGTTGTGGATTTGACCCCATTAACTATTGAAAAATCCAATGAATGTTCCAAAAATTACCATTTCCAAATAATATTCTCCCTGTATATACCCAGATTAACATGCAGCTCAAGGTGGTGCACATAAAATTGTAGATGGGAAGCGGCTGTACAGGAAATATGTGGTGTTATGACAGACAACATGTCATCCAGTAAGGTTTTAGATCTACTTTAAAGGAGAACTATGGGGTTAAGGCTTTTCCCCATAGTTCTCCTTAGGGTAACGGGAGGACACAAACTAGCGTCCTCCCGTCACCCTAAGCTCAGTATACCGCGAGAGACGCCACAGTATACCGCAAGCTACTGCTCGCGGTATACTGAGATGCCGCTGCTGAAGCGGATCCCAACAATTGTGCCGGGATCCGCCCAGCTGCGTGACTGACAGCTGGCTCTGCCTATCTAGAGGCAGAGCCAGCTGTACCCTCCCCCGTCAGTAACGCCAGTCAGCGCTGGCGGAGCGGGGAGGGGGAATCCAGCCCCTCCCCTGTCACGGCAGAGAGCTGTGACAGGATTGAGAGGTGAGCTAACACCGCTATGTGTTCGCTCACCTCCCGATCTATTGAGCCGACCTGTGACAGCCTCATTGTCACAGGTCGGCTAGAACTATGAGGTGAGTGAAAAGCACTCACCTCATAGTTCTCCTTTAAATGCAAATCCTGATATATGAATATTACTAATATATATTCTTTCCTATCCTGCTTGCTTTTAATAACTGTAAATCTTTTCTCATAATTTTCAGATTATCATCAGTAATCAGGAGCAGTGGGAGGAATCGCTCTCTTCCAAAGGACTCCTAGGTAAATAACGGTGAATATAAATGAAACCATATTCTCTAAAGGCAATCTGTCGGAAGAGAAATGTGGCAGCTGACATTTGTGGCATGTACAACATCTCATGACGAGGGAGCATGGAGCCGGCCTCCCGGCTAATCAGAAAGCAGGGCGTCACGTCATTACACAGCGCCTGGCTTCCTGATTGGCCGGCCAGACGGCTTCGGCTGGGTACCGGAGGAAGGCCGCGTTCTGGCTGGAAAGGCCCCGAGGGTGACAGGTTAGACATACTAAGGTAAGGTAACCTTACCTCACGAGGACGAGGGAGCATGAAGCCAGCTTCCCGGCCAATCAGAATGCCGGGCTCTGCGTCATTATACGCTGCCCGGCTTCCTGATTGGCCGGGAAGTCGGCTCCATGCTCTGTCATCACAATTGATGAGAGAGCATGGAGCCGTTTCCCGGCCAATCGGGAAACCGGGCAGCGTGTAATGACGCGCTGCCCGGCTTCCTGATACCGGAAGTACTCGTGCTAGGCATCGGAGCATTTGGGCGAGTACGAGTACTCGCCCAACTACTCGGAAATCGGCACCGTTACCAATACTAGTATCGGTATCGGTGAGTCCCTATCCATTTTCATGCATTTTTTAGCATCCAGACAAACATTATAGTGTATTATAGTCTAAATTCTCACAAACACACGTAACATACAACATATGGTGTAAAATGTAAATATGAACTATTACTATCCTGCTATTACGCTGGACTTTGAAGCAATGTATTTTGCTGAAACATCATATTTGTCCCAAGCAAGTCATATGATAGTACCGTTTTTGTGCACTGATTTATTTATATTGAAGATGAAAATGCATATAAACACACATGTTACATGTTACAATTTTTGGTTTGCTAATACCTTTTAACATTTTCAAAGATACAGTATATTGGTATAGTAAAAATGCCAGACTTGCATCCTGTTTAGTGTTTGATGGATATGGTTTCTCAGTAACATCTTTCCTTTTGGATTGTGCCCTAGCTAAAGATATGCTGTTGATTTGATTGGTCTGCCTTTTTCTTAGTGGTGGACGTGTATCAGGCCTGGTGTGGTCCGTGCAAGACAGCTGTCAGCTTATTTCGAAAAATTAAAAATGAACTGGGTGATGATCTCTTGCAGTTTGCTGTGGTAAGAATGTGTCTAGAGTTACCTAACAGTATGTGAAAACATTTCAATACCAGAAAATAATGTATTTAGGATTATTTTAACCTGATAATCATGATGAACACAAAATGAGTACTCTTCCTAATACTTAGAGCCAGAGTGTGACACTGCCAGGTTTCACATGCCAGCTCTATAGATCCAGTGCTGAACAATCATGAGCCGCTGATCGCTCAGCTTACGGTCTGCTCACTGAGGAGAGTGGTGACTGACAGTCATCACTCCCCACATGGATTGCCCCCTTCCCCTCTGTTCCTTGAGATTCTGTGCAGCCCACCTGAGAGTCAGCGCAGCCTACCATAGACCCTGCGCAGCCAACTGAGAGTCCGGACAGCCCACCATGGACCGCACAGCAAAGAATCATGCAGCAAGAGGCTGCAACTTAAATTGTATGTAAGAACTAACAATGAACTTTTCTTATTTTCTCCCTTTTGGTCTGTTAAATATACAATTGAAAGCATTTCTGTTAAATAAGTGCAAAACACATTGTCAATCCTGCCAGAAATCCATTGAGCTCTTACCTTCCTGTAGTGAGCTGACAATGCTGCAGTGAAATCTCAAAAAAATGTAACAGCCTTACCCAATTCACATCTGTGAACTATAGAACAGCTCCCCTCAATGGAAATGAGTAGAAGGAAATTATTTTTTGTAGTCCTAGCACACTTCCTGTCCTTGCTCAGCACCCACTCAACTCCGTCCGAGACCATGCCAGGGACATCGGGGCCACAGGAAGGGAATGCAATGTCTCATGGATGCATGACTCATGAGCCAACAGCCCTTGTTGGATCATGAGTCATGCATCCATGAGACATTTCAACTTCCCAGTCTAAGACTAGGTGATAGGGGTCCTTTGCATCGTCCTCCATGGCCCCCCCTTCCTGTGGCCCAGATGTCCCTGGCATGGCCTCGGACGGAGTTGAGTGGGCTGGTTTGATTCAGGCCGCCATCACTTTCTCTTAATCCGGAAATATCTGTCCTCCTCCAGACATTAGTTGTTTGATTAGCCCCCCGTGGTCCCCTGAAGAAGCTTGGTGTGAAACACGTCGGGCCCCGGATATGTCTGTTCCAGTAAATGAACAATGAAAAACTAATGACAATCAGTAAATGAACAATGAATAATTAATGACAATTATGTTTGCAACTATGGATATTTAATTAAGATATAACTGGTTGACGTTGGGCATATCCTGGGCACTTTGTGTGTGTTTTAGCCAATTGGGTTTTTTTTATACTCGTATGTATTACAATCAATTCTTTTATATAATGTAATTACTGTATAATAAAATTTGGATATAATTTTTACACATGTATTTGTTTTATACCTCTCAGAAACCCCTATTTCTCGTTTTTTTTTTTTCTTTTTTTCAAATGTAGCTAAGCCAAAAGCTTATGGCCTGTTTATCAGGGGGGTGGATCTTTGTAACCATATATTGTGTGTTATAATGCAGTCCAGTTGACTGCTATGGGCACCATGATGCACATCAATGGATGCAAAAATGTACCTGAACTTTTTTCCCCGCTGAAACACATTATGACGCTATGCATTATAATGTGTCGTAACACAGGCGTCATGACAGATAGGCATGAACAGAGCCTAAATCAGTAGAACTTTTAAAGAAGTGTTCTTGCAGATTTGTCTTTGTTTGATTTTTATTAACTAACCTTAATTTTTTTGTTGTTGTTGCAGGCGGAAGCTGATAGTATTGATGCACTTGAGAAATACAGAGGCAAATGTGAACCCACGTTTCTTTTCTTTGGTGTGAGTTATATTTAGGGTCACTGGAAGAATAAAAATACCTAAAAACCAAATTATCTAACGTTTGAGAGTTAATATTAACATTTACCAGTTTACATGTAAGAATATGGCTCTTTGTTGAACAGCTCATAGGAATTCTATCAGGAATCTTGTACATAGTCAAAATATAGGTATAATGATACTTATTATAGTGATTATTATTATACAGGATTCATATAGTGCCAACAGTTTGGGCAGCGCTTTAGCCATGGGTACAGGAAGAAGATATAGGTGCAACTGTGCATGGGTTATATTGTCTTGGGCCCCATGTGTAACTGCTACTTTTCTTTGTTTACCAGTTGTTGTTTGCTGACATTACAACTACGCAGAATAAGGTGGCATTTATGTTTACTTCATATCCTTTTTCATTTGTTTTTACATGATATATAAGCCTTTAGTAGGCTTTTACGGCTTATATAAACAGCAAGACCTATGCCTTGTGTAAAGTGATAGGCATAATTAGAAACTGTTGCTTGACATATGGTTGGGTACCTGTTCAGAATCTGTTCTCTATTTTGTACATGTATTTTTGGGTCTAGTAAGATAAATTCACATCAGCCAGCTTGTGATTGTCATTGGTTATCCTCACATAAAGAAGTGCCTGTAGAACTAAGGGTACCTGCTCAAAGAATCTAATATATCAGGGAAGGAAAAGACCACTGTATTTTGTATTCTAATCATCATTGTTGAAACGTCTGCTTATTTTTCTCCTCTATTTTATGTACTATTTGGTTGTCTGATTTATGACTGCTATTTACTTGTACTATATCTTGCAAGGGAGGGGAACTGGTTGCCGTGGTGAGAGGAGTCAATGCTCCTTTACTACAGAAAACTATTATAGACCAGCTTGAAGCAGAGAAGAACGTTTTGAACCAAGGCCTAGAACGCAAAGTGGTAAGTACGCATGCGTACAGTTGTGTAGATGTATGACAAAGTTCCGGACACTAAATTCTAGTATCTGCTCTGTACTGGCATACATGACTGAGCAGATATTTCAGAAAAAAAAATAATGATATAAGTTCATTACCAGGGTACCAGGGTTACAAATACTAGACACTAGAACGTAATAGTAAAAGAAAGATGGAAATTTCATATTTTTGCAGTCTGGTTACCAGAAACTGAAGGTTTAATTGCAGAAGAAACTTAAAGTGACATTAAACCCTCAGATTTTTTTAAACATAAACCAATACTGTAATGTGTGCCTTACTGTAATCCATGGTTGTTTCCCTTCTCTTTGCTGCTCTTCCTTTTCCTTTTAAATCCGTATCTCTTCTCATGCGGGGGGAGAACTTCTGTTTTGCAGCAGACTGCCTTGTCTCTGAAATGGATACATGGTGTCTGTGTGAAGGTTCACAATCTGAGCCAACACTACAGGAAGATGCACTCAGCTGCAAAGAGAAGTTCTCCCCCAGCATGAGAAGAGATACAGATTTAAAAGGAAGAGCAGCAAAGAGAAGGGAAACTGCCATGGATTACAGTAAGGCACACATTACACTATTGTTTTATGTAAAAAAATCTGAGGGTTTAATGTCACTTTAAAGAAGACCTTTGGTTCCATTACTATTCTAGAATTTTGCATAAAAAAATATTATATTTGTGGTATGTCCTCCACCGCATGGAAAATCAGCTATTGTTTTTATGCAAGATAAAATAATAAATACACAAAATTAGTGAATTATTTGACCAAACAACTATCTGGCAACGCATCATGAATAAAAAGTGTAGGACATTTTTTTTTTAAAGTAGCAATCCGTAGATTCTTTCTTTCACTGCGTAATTGTATGACAAAGGACATTATGAGCTCATTGGTTACTTAGGGCAGATTTCATATGTGAGGCCCAATGTAATGAATGACTTATGTTTTCTTAGGTAAAAGATGAGGCACTTCTAGTGGAAGAAGAGGAGACGTCTCCTATCCCAGCACAGGTTGAGGATGATGAACTGCGTGAGTAAAAAATAAATGAGCAATACATTTTCGCACATATTAAGGGGGGTTCCTACTCAGAAGTTAGCTACAGAACTAAAATGACTGACACTCATTCCACCTTTTTTTGCCAGAGCAGGCAGCAATTTGAACCCCACCACCAAGCTTGTTGCCTGGCTGTCCCAACCCTTACACTTCCCAGTGGGTTTAGCAGCACTGACTGCACCTCCCAGTGCCTCTTTCCTCCATCTTCCTCCTTTTGCTATATAAAATGACAATGAACTCAGCAGTTAAATCTTAAAAATGCATTCAAGTACCTTAATTATCAACAAATGTAGCCTATTTGTGCATCACCTAGCTGTAGATCCTCAAATCATCTCTGAATTTGTACCGACATTGTCCTTCCTTCTGGAGTGTGGCTACTTCTGTGCCCCATGGTCCCTGTGTGCAGGGGCGGACTGACAACACATGGGGCCCCCGGGCAATACGAGATTATGGGGCCCCTTTTGCTCCACCCATATACAGGCTCCACCCACCCACAATCCCCACCCATCCCCAAGGCCCACCCAAATATACATTCTTGTGTTGCAGAAGTTATTTCTCCTCACTATTTTCAAAATAGCCGGTCTATTCACTAAAAAATGAATTGCAGGGGAATTGGTAGAAGAATTTGAAATTTACACCAATATAGGGGATTTGGAAAGAGAGCTAATTGGCAGAATTTTTATTAGCTTTCTTCCTCATATCCTCATGAACATTTCTGCCTCTGTGCTGTGCAAGCAATGTGTGTTATCCCCACCTACAGATAGTGTATTGTGGGTAAAGGCAGAGCTGGTGTTTACTGATCATGATATAATGGGTGACAGGGAGGGGGGCAGCTGATTACAGTCTGATACACCGGGTGTCCGACTGATTTTCCTGTGGAGAAAATTTAGAATTTTTAGGCTTCAGGCCTAATAAAATCTTCTTTAAAAAAATTAAGAAAGCCTGCAATGTGAGTAATGAAAAATGTGCACATGTATACATCATCACTGCACATGTACATTACCACAATAAATACAAACCACTTAAAAAAGGTAAAAATGGACTTTAAACTAAACAAAATAAAACAAACATTACTGGCTCTCTAACAAATAAAGTGCCCATGCACAAAGCCAAATGGTATACCAAAATGCCCTGTATTCTATGTTGTAAGAAAGAAGGCAGGTTATTTACAGGTACGTACCATGGGAATCCCTATTCCAAGCATTGCCCCCCCTACTTCATGGACCATTAGCTCTCCATGAGTAACGGTGTATCTCTACCTGTACCCCAATAGAGGACTAGAATTACCAGCAATATATTATACAGCAATGCAGAATTGCAACCAGCTATAGAGGACTACAAATCCCAGCAACCCATTATACAACTGTGCAGAATACTACCAGCTTTAGAGGACTACAAATCCCAGCAATACATTTCACAACAATGCAGAATGCCATAAGCTATAGAGGTCTATGAATTCCAGCAATACAGAATAGTATATGAATTTGCAACATACTCTGTGCTGCCACTCTGCTCCGGGGTGCCGGCCTGGTGTCATGGATGGAGGGTCCCAACAGAGGCAGATGCAGAAAGTCTAAGTAGGGGCAGATGCAGAGGGCCTAACGGAGCAGATGTGAAGGATCAGCAGGGGCAGATGTGGAGGATCAGCAGGGGCAGATGTGGAGGATAAGCAGGGGCAGATGCGGATGATAAGCATGGGCAAATGCGGAGAATCAGATGGGGAGCATCAGAGGGGCAGATGCGGAGCATCAGAGGGGCAGATGTGGAGCATTAGAGGTGCAGATGTGGAGCATTAGAGGTGCAGATGTGGAGCATTAGAGGGGCAGATGCGGAGGATCAGAGGGGCAGATGTGGAGGATCAGGGGGACAGATGCAGAGGATTAGAGGGGCAGATGCTGAGGATGAGATGTGGAGTATCAGAGAGCCAGATGTGGAGGATCAGGGGGACAGATACCAGGGGCTGACTGGCAACTTTTAGCCCAGGGGGCAAGTACAACCCAGAGGCCCATGGTGCAGCAACTTGGCCCCCCTCCCGCTCTGCCTCTTCCTCCGCCTTCTCCCCATCCCTGTCTGCCACTTTTGCCATCCATGTAACAGTAGTGTTAATGTATTTATCGGTTTAGGAAATGTAAAGCGCACTGGTAGTGGAGGGATGCCTCGTCAGGTAGTTCTGCCACTAACTCAGAAATACATTACACAACAATGCAGAATACCATCAGCTATAGAGGACTATAAATCCCAGAAATACCATTATACAGCAATGCAGATTACCATCAGTTATATAGGACTATAAATCCAAACAATAATGACTACCAACAGCTATAGACAACTACAATTCCCAGCAATACCATTATACAGCAATGCAGAACAGCATCAGCTATAGCGGACTACAAATCGCAGCAATACATATTACAGCAATGCAAAATAATATGAAGCTGCATACTCTGTTGCTCTGGGTTCTCCGCCTGATGTCTTCAGTGTCTCTCACCAGGGCTCTCACCAGGGGTCCAGAGAGTTTCACAGGTGCGTGTGGGTGCAGCAGAGGTGGCTCCCTAATTAAGCTCTCAGGTGGCCAATGAGGACTGGCAGGTGGTCAGTGCGGGCTCTCTGCTGGTCAGTGTGGGGGTGGGTGGCCAGTGGGGGCTCCCTAATAATCAGTGGTGGCTCTGTGGTAGCTCCAGGTGGGTAGTGGGGGCTCCTTGGTGGTTAGTGGGGGCTCTGTGGAGGCTCCCTGGTGGTTAGTGGGGGGATCCCTAGTGGTTAGTGGGGTATCCCTGGTGTAGGGTGACCATTCATCTAGAGCTGCAGCTAATGATTATTTTAAAAATCGATTTAGTTAACCGATTTATTAAGTTCAATTAACCGGTTAATCGGGATAAAAACAAATGGCTCCAGTGATGGGACTACTAGTTTGTATTGAGATTGTAGTCCATCACAGGAGCAAGCTTGGAGCGTTGGAAGTAAGGGAAAAAAAAGTGTGGTGTGCAATATAGTGCATTGGAAAGTGTAAAATTATACAGCAATCAATGCAGAATGGCACCGGCTATAGAGGACTACAAATCCCAGCAATAGTACGTTATACAGCGCAATGCAGAATACCACCAGCTAAAGAGGACTACAAATCCTAGCAATAGTACGTTATACAGCGCAATGCAGAATACCATCAGCTATAGAGGACTAAAATCCCAGCAATAGTACATTATAGCTGGTGGAATTCCGCATTGCGCTGTATAATATATTATTGCTGGGATTATACATACAGCGTATAATGTATTGCTGGGATTTGTAGTCCTCTATAGCTGATGGTATAATATACAGCACAATGTGCCATCAACTATAGATGACTACAAATCCCACTATCCCAGCAATACATTATAGAGCACCATGTGTGGGAAAGTGCAGGCTTACCTGAGCAGTCTTCCAGCAACTTGCTTCTGAGATCGGGCCTGTCATCCCCTCACGCCTGCTCCTCACTTCTTCTCCCCGCGTCCCTGTGCCGATTGTGGATGTGGGCGGTGCGCGCATCGGTCCTCAAAAGGCCCCAGCGGGCGGCCCTCTACAGCGCCTGATTAGAGGGCTGCGTGTGCCTGATCCATCCAATGGAGCACTCAGGACTAGTTATCTTTCTTCTGTTAAAAATAAAACCATGATAAAGCAAACGTAAAAAAAAAGGATTTTGTTCTTATTGTAAAAAACTTTTCTCAGAGTCCTTTGAGGGGCACAGCACTGAGGAATTCTGAGGCACAGGGTTATGCTGCTGCCTCTAGGAGAAATGGACACTAGGCAAACAATTAAAAACAATGTCACTTAAAAGACATAAGCCCTCCCATCTCACACATGCCAGTTGAAGCAAGCAGTACAAAGGAATTTGAGAGGAAGGAGCTGTGTCCCTCAATGGACTCCAAGAAAAGGATTTTACGGTAAGAACAAAATCCTGTTTTCTCCATCATCCATTGAGGGACACAGCTCTGAAGAATCCTGAGATGTAGGGACGTCCAAAAGCAGTCCAAACAGAGGGGCGGGCACCACAACAACTAAGGCACTAGCTCAACAAAAAATTAACTATTGCATGAAAAACATTTCTGCCAAAACTAGCATCAGAAAAGGCAGAAACACCAACCTTATAAAACTGTGCAAAAGTGTGAACAGAAAACCAAGGTGTGGCCTAACAATTTTCGAGTAACAGAAGTTTGATTTTGAATTAGTACTAAGTACTAATTGCTCTAGTAGAATGAGCAGAAACAAGAAAAGGTGGTACCCCATCTCGTAATTTAGAAGCTTGAAGAATCTGTTCAAATAAATAAAACAAAATAAAATAAAAAAGCAGAAGAGAGGGCACTAAGCAAAACTGGGAGGTGGGAGGGGTTATGCCCTTAAAGTGACAGGCTTTTTATTTGTTTGCCTAATGTTCATTTCTCCTAGAGTCAGCAGCATAACCCTACACCTTACAATTCTCCAGAGCTGTGTCTTTCAATGGACGATAGAGAAACTATGGCATTCACATATATTGTGACTATGAAAAGTAATAAGCCTAGATCTTGGAATTACAAATCTCAGTAAGCCAGTTACATTTATCAAACGCAAATGATGCAGTATATGCTCATTTTAAAAGCTCACCATTTTCATTTTATCATTCTGTTGTAGTTCCATCAGGGAAGTCTTACACAGTGGCTATTATTAAACCTGATGCAGTTGCTCATGGAAAAGCAGATGAAATCATAATGAAGGTAAGAAATGTATCTCTATTACTGTTAATGGTCTTGTTAAAGCTCTATGTTGAATATGTTACTGTGAATACAATATACTACCGGTATAAAAGTATTGTTTTTATTCCAGATACAGGAGGCTGGGTTTGAGATTTTGGCCAATGAAGAGAAGACTATGACGGAGTCTGAAGTCAGAGACTTCTATCAGCACAGGGCAGGAGAGGTAAGTAATGACTCTATATGATGCAAAGATCAGTTGAAATGTAAGCAGGTAAAGAGAGAGATCCTCCAGGTATTTATAGTTTTCTGGACAGCAATGCCAGCTCAAGTTTTCTGGCAATCTGATCTAGCAAATGATTTATCCTGGAAGACCAGGTAGTTAGCACTAGGCGGTTATTTTCCATGCATCTGCGCATATTAATAGGTCTAAGTACCTACTGTTATAGGTTTTACTTGCCTATTGTCATATTATTTTATTATTCACAATGGGGAAACAGATGGTGGGGCATATTTATAAAGCAGTTAATCTACATTCGCTGCAGGTGAATCTTCCTAGTGCATGTGTTTTAAATGACAGTGATTGATTCACCACCAATGAATGTTTGGCAAAAGTCCCCTTCGTTGCTTTATGAATATGCCCTAGTGTGTAATTCTTGTATGAAGTCCATAAATAGACATTTTAAATCCTTTAGTTATCAGGAAATTCCTGACAAGTCTCACTTTTAAAAGCATGTGCAGAACAGACTTTCACAGTTATATTTAATGATGAAATCAGGGGGCCCTGATACCTCCCCTTTGTGTCACAGAAATCTGGGACTCAAAATCCTTCTTCCCCTGCACCTGGCACAATTCTGACAAATCTCCCTGTTTGCCTTCCTAAAAACTCTCCTGTAACAGTAGGAGACCAGGGCCAGTTTCACCAACCGCAGACCAGGATCTGGAAGTGAGGCAGAGGGATGGCACCCTTTTATTGAGGCTATAAGACAGCTGTGCTGTGGTGGGCTAGTTGCGAATGCAAGGCCTGCTTTAATGACAGCCCCCCTCACCCCCAAATAATAAAATAAATCCAGCAACGGGGTGCCAAAAATAAGGCATTGTAGAACATTTTAAAAATTAATTACTTGGAATACGTCCACTTTTTGAGCACTGGTGACTTCTCTGTGTCTTACCACTGCCAGGTTGGGAGCCTGTCATTAAAACACACCTTGCTTTTTATGCAAAGACCACATTAAAGGAGAACTATGAGGTGAGTGCTTTTCACTCACCTCATAGTTCTAGCTGACCTGTGACAATGAGACTGTCATAGGTCGGCTCAGTAGATCGGGAGGTGAGCGAACACATAGTGGCGTTCGCTCACCTCTCGATCCTGTCATGGCTCTCTGCTGTGACAAGGGAGGGGCTGGATTCCCCCCTCCCCACTCCAATCCACCAGCGCTGACTGGCAGAACGGACGGGGGAGGGGCGGGTACAGCTGGCTCTGCCTCTAGGTAGGCAGAGCCAGCTGTCAGTCACGCAGCTGGGCGGATCCAGACATAATTGTCGGGATCCGCTTCAGCTGCAGCGTCTTAAGCCCCATTCACACTGAGCGATTTATTGAGCGATTTTTGCAGCAATATCGCTCATATTTCCACGCGATATCGCTCTATGTAGCTTCTCCAATCCATTTCAATGGAGCTGTTCACATCTCGTCGCTCAATATCGCTCAATATCGCTTGTAGCTCGTCGCTGGTAGCTTGTCGCTCCTACATGACCCTTTTTTCGAGCGATTTCGAGCGATATTGCTCCTGATTGCATACAGCCCAATAGGAAAAAGTCGCTCAATATCGCTCGTCGCGCAATATCGCTCAAAATCGCGCGATTTTCATGTCGCTCAGTGTGAATGGGGCCTTAGTATACCGCGAGCAGCAGCTCGCGGTATACTGGGACGTCTCAGTATACCGCGAGCTTCAGCTTGCGGTATACTGAGCCTAGGGTGACAGGAGGACGCTAGTTTGTGTCCTCCCGTTACCCTAAGGAGAACTATGGGGAAAAGCCTTAACCCCATAGTTCTCCTTTAATTGCCTTGCTAGCCTTGATGTTTTTTTGTATGCTAGTATGTCTTTGTCTTTTTTTTGGCCTTTTCCAGAAACCAGAACATGTGAAAGAATTTACCATAAGGCTATAGAACACACAAACTCAAAGCATAAATGTTCACTGAAAAATTAGCTTTACTGGATGTACTGATGTGTAAAATGACTTCCAAATGTTGACGTGTTAAAATTGTACAGTTGTGTTGTATTATATTGTGAGAATTCACTTGTAGTGTATACCCTTTGCTAAACGTGCATCTTCACAGCACATTCATGATGAATCACCTCTGTATCTTTCAACAGGAGAAATTTCAGGAGCTGATACAGTTCATGTCTAGTGGCCCATGCCATGTTCTTATCATATCTAAATCTGGAGAAGAGGATGTGATCCCTGCATGGAGAGAGTTCATTGGTCCAACTGATGTAGAAGTCGCCAAGACAGAGAAGCCTGAAAGGTAAGTAAAGAACAGCAATTCTCCTGGGCTTTTAATAGCCACAGGTGGTGATTATATATTCCATATGAATATTTTTAATTTTGTAGTGCTGTCCATATTCAAATTTTTCAAATAACTTCTCCATTCTGGTGCATTGTGGTAAAGTGCACACATCCCAAAATGCAGCAAAACACCAACGTATGTTGTGATACGCTGGGTTTGAACAAAAAGCTGCATGTACTTTTTTTGTCCATTTCTGTGTGTTCAGAAAGAATGGGCTGCCTTAATGCAACGTACGTTATAATGTGACATGTAACGTGCATACATTAATGCACAGGGATGGCAAAGTATGTATTGGCCCTGTATAGAAGTACTAATTATACAGACCCCGTTACTCCACCATTGAAAGCAGTAAATGTGAGAATAAAGAATGATTCGTAAAACAATACAAATTGTCACATTTTGGGAATCCCAAGGCTCTCTCACTTTAAGCTCTCGTACCTTCATACCTCTTATGGACTTTATTTATTTATTATTTATTACAGGTATTTCTATAGGGCCAACAATTTACGCAGCGTTTTACATAGTTGCACATTCACATCAGTCCCTGCCCTCATGGAGCTTACAATCTAAGGTCCCCATCTCGCATACTGGGCCAATTTAGACAGGAGCCAATTAATCTTCCAGCATGTCTTTGGAGTGTGGGAGGAAACCGGAGTACCCGGAGGAAACCCACACAAGTACAGGGAGGACATGCAAGCTCCTTTTGCAGATAGTGACCTGGCCGGGATTCAAACCAGGGACTCCCAGTGCTGCAAGGCAGAAGCGCTAACCACTACGATCACTGTGCTGCCCATAATAAACTCAAAAACATTTTTTTCAATAATAAATCCAGATCAAACAAACATACATTGTCCAGCAAAGTATTTCTTTACATTTTTGCCCAAACACTTACAGTCATTGTGTTTCTGAACAATTGTAACCACCCTCCTCAGCACGTTCCTGATATGGACTACATTCATACGTATGGACTCATCCGGAGCTGGCACATGCAAGCTCTGAAGTCTTTCCATTTATCACAGCACTGCCAACGCATGTGGTACCAGCATGAATGGTAATAGTCATACATAAGCCCTCCTTACCATCTTGTCTTGAATTGTATTGTGACTGTAGTGTCTTCCTTATATTGTAAAGCGCTGTGCAAACTATTGGCGGTATATAACTCCTGTATAATAATAATACATGCCCATTTGAGTATGCAAGTGTGCCGAATCATGGAAATCTGTAAAATATGTGCACTGCTCATACCGCAAAACCAGAAATTCAGGAAAACGTGCTTTTGTGGGTAGCACGGCACAAATAGGATCATTCTACTAGAAATAAGGTATTTAAACATAGCTACCGTAATTAAAATAAAGAGGTCATGTTTATGATATCATGCTGGATTTGAAAGCTGTTTTTTTAGGAGGGTTTAGTGACACTTTAGGATAACAGAATAATACATTCATGTGCGTTTGGGACAAATTAGGCTCTTTTTGGCAATTTTGTTTTTGGACTATTTTCTTAGAGTTTACAATGAGTAGTGTTGTCAGCACTTTCAAAATAAATGGGCTGTCATCATTTGTCCCGTTATTAAAAAGACATTAAGGGGACTATTTATATATTTTTTCACACGTTCTTCCAGTTCAATTTAATTAGAAAAATGTGTGAATCTTGTGTGAAGAAATATACAGTATAAATAGACCCCTAAAATTATGTTTCTCGTACAAAGCAATGCAAAGTTATTTGCAAATGAATAAATGTGCTTTGAACTTCTTCATGAAATACCAAAAAATTTTGTGTTTTTTCTTTTTCTTTTATTTATTAAAATATAAAACTATGTTAAACTTCTTTCTCCTGCTATTCTATGGTCTGTGTATTATACGATGAGCTGTTTACTTATTTTAAGGTCCATCATGTAATATTCTAATATCACTGGCGGCTGTTTGTAAAATAATTTTGTTTTTTTTGCAGTTTACGAGCTCAGTATGGTACAGAGATTCTGTATAATGCTGTGCATGGGAGCAATGACACTGAGCAGGCCAGCAGAGAATTAGCCTTCTTCTTTCCTACTTTCAAACAACAGCACCAACACACAGATGAATCGGTCTTTATGAGCCCAGAAAGGACCTTGGCTTTGATTAGGCCAGAGGTCTTAAGAGGCAGGAAAGGTACAGTGCAGTTTATGCTGGTGGTGTTCGAAGAGCGAAAACTTGGGGTTCATAGGCTATGAATAGGAAAAGCTGTAAGCCCACAAGTATGCGGATTGTTATTGATCACTGCCAATAAGCTCAGATGAACTTACAACATTTACAGTAGGACTTGTACACACTAGCTGAGCGCTTTAGCCTGTGGATTATTGGTGAGGCTGGGCTTGGTGCAAACTCATTTCGTCTGAGTTGGTCCAAGCCCACCCAAATCTTTGACCTCCACCCCCTCCTCCTGATCCATTCACATGCTGGGAGGCACATTACCCCCTCCCCGCAGCTATACGTCACAAAGGGACAGGTAACACAACTGCCGCCACAGATTGGGTTGAGAGGAGGGGTTGGGGTCAAAGTTATGAGTGGGCTTGGGCAAACTCAGGTGAACGGCCCATCTACTATGGGCTAGTGTGGTGTGACAGGTCTATTGGGTATGTGGTGTGATGCTCTGTCTCAGCACTCACGCTGTTTTACTTTACTTTGAGTGTACAAAGTGTATACTCCAGTCAGATCCCTGTACAGCACAGCACTGTACTGTGCTTTAGTGACCTGTGGTTTGATTCATTCATACAACTTATGCTTATTAAAGCGTATGCAAAATCTCTGCAATACATGTTTTATTCCTATTAACATGCTGGAAGAACAGAAAAATAACTGTTGATGTGCCATTAGGTTTGTTCAGCGAAGATTTGAAAATGAGAGAAGCTGATTGGTTGCCATGGCCAATGCTCCAAATTCTGTCTGCTCCAGTTTTGATAAACATTAACATTGAGGGGGGAATTTAGTTTGTTCAGTTAAGATTTGAAAATAAAAGATAGAAGCTGATTGGTTGCCATGCACAGCTACTCCAGTTTTGATAAATCCCCCTCTGAGTCTTTTAATTTTGACTGTGTTTTGACATGGTCACTTTAAGGCTTGCTTAACACATTTGCATGTTTTTCTGTGCATTGCCGCAATGCACATTTCCACTGCACTTTGAGCATTGTGATGACATCCATTTGTAATAGCTTCCCAAAGCACACGTACAGTAGAGGTACAGTAAAATGCTACAAAACACAAATACAGGCAGTCCCCGAGTTACGGTCCTCCGACTTACGGACAACCTGTACTTACGAACTGAGGTCCACAGTTCTTCTAAATGTACCGGCAGCCGCCGGAACATTTAGGAGAACTGTGGCTGCAGTGGCCTGTGTCCCTTCAAATCCCCGCTGCTCTCCCCCCCCCCCGGGTTTGCGGAGGCAGCGGGGACACAGACCGCTGCATTCCTCCGATGCCCCCCGTACCTCCGCTGCTGTCCCGGCCGGTTCCTCCTCTTCTTCCGGTCCGTCAGCACCTCCTCTTCTGCCGGTCAGTCTGCTCCTCTTCCCGGGTCTGTCCTCACCCCCGACTTTTTTTATTATATTATAATCTTCTGAACAACGGGAACAGACAGCAAAACAAACGTGACTCTTTCCTATGCTATCCAAAACTAAAAAAATGTTTTTTTGGCTGGAGTTACACTTAAAAAATGTACCTGTTTCGACTTACATACAAATTCAACTTAAGTACAATCCTACAGCCCCTATCTTGTATGTAACCCGGGGACTGCCTGTATTTCCCAGCACACTTACCAGCTAGCCTGCAACAAAACAAATGAAACTAACAATGTGAACCGAGGTTTTAGTTGCACAACTTTTGCAAAACATGTGCAAGCCATACTGCCTCATCAAAGCCCCTCTGTGTAGTGTGGTCCTAACTCTAATCTATGAGAGCCTCCATATTGGAGCATATATATCAGTAGGTAAACTGCATGCAGGTATGCCTGGGGGTTCCCCACAATAGAGTGCACCACAACACACATGCCATGCATCATGATACACTGTGCCAGAGAAATAGACTGCATGTCCAGTTTTTCTTCCATTGCTGTGCATTGACAGACCAGTCCAATGAATGGGCTGCCTTAAGGAAATATACATTAATGTGCATACAGTAACATGCTGTAGAAGACCACACAAGTCTGAAGAGACCCTAAGACCTTTACTTGCTTTCTTTCAGATGAAGTTTTGCAGTGCATCCAGGAGGCTGGCTTCTCTATAGCAATGCAAAAGGAAGTTATGCTTAGTGAGCAGCAGGTCAAGGAGTTCTATCAAGAGCATGTAAATGAAGACTATTACCCAGCTCTTCAACAGCAAATGACCAGGTAAATCATTTTACAAACTGCATTTATTTTACTCTTATCATAATAATGCAGTTGGTTTGAACTGCACATTGTCATGCTTGTTTTAATTAAATGTATGTTCCGTACATTCTGTAGATATGTTATTCATTTGAGTATCTTACGTATTAAACCTTATCTTGGCAGCGGTCCCATTCTTGCCCTGGCACTTGTAAAGGATAACGCAGTAAAACTGTGGAGGAATGCGTTAGGACCTACGAAAATTACAGAAGCAATAAATGAAGCACCAGACAGGTTGGACAGCTATATTGTTATATCACATGATTGCAGAGAAACATTGTGGCTAATGTCATTTTTTTAAAGTGGAAGTGCACCGAAATTACATTTCGAAACCAAAAATTAAAAAAAATGCCAGGCCGAAACCAAAACATAGTTTTTTTCTAACCTTTTAAAATTTGTATATCCTTCCCCCACAATGAGGCACTATTACCTGGCTTCTCCCCACTTTTTCTATGTCCCACAGCCTGCTCAGTCCGGGTACTGACCAGATGCCCCGCCTCCTGCAGAACCCGAACTGTACTGAGAGCCGCGCCTCCGTGCCGCTTCAATGATGGCCCAGCGTGCACGGCATCACAGGGACCCAGGGACCTCCAAAATTTTCCCCACGGACCACTGGTTGGTGACCGCTGCTCTATACTGAATGCTGCTGTTCACTCATAACTTGTCCACAATCATGAATGATTAGGAAGTGATGTACATCACTTCCTATTTATTCATAACTGGACAGAGTAACTCACACTATGTCCAGTTATTTGCAACCATTCAGCGATCACTGATCGCTGACTGCTTGTACCCACTCAGCATCCTGGATCGGCTGTCACAGGGGACTGAGCAGGCGGTGCGGAGAGGAGAGCTTGGTCTATTTGGCAGCTGATTTCTCCCCGCACCGCCGGTTCCACCTCATATGACAGCTCACAGCTGTCTCCGCCCCCACACCGCTCTTCATCCTGATCTGTCACAGGGGGCTGAGCGGTTTGGTGCAGGAGGAGAGCTCAGCCTCCTATGACACAGACCGCTCACAGCGCCCTCCTTCCCGTCCTGCTCGATCTTCTGACAGTTTCTCTCCTCCCAGCTGTGCACTGCACTGTGTCAGAGCGGCCAGAGAGCAGCACCCAGGGGGAGGAAAGAAACTAGGGATGCACCGCAATTTCTTCCGAAAGATGGTGCTTTCGGCATTTTGCCCAAAGGGCCATTTTCGTCTGGTAAGTTTCGGCGGCCGAAACCTTGGTGCATCCCTAGTTATTTTTTCATCTCATTTTTATCTTTCTTATATTTCTATTGTTTTTGTGTTGCATTAAAGTGAAGTAAATGCTTTCAAGTACCTTAACGATTAACAAAAATGTATCTTATTTGTGTATCACTCAGCTATAGATCCTCAAACCATCTCCGGATTTGTGCTGACACGTCCTTCCTTCTGCAGGGTGGCTACTTTTGTTCCCCATGGTCCCTGTGTGTGTTGTAAAGTAGCCACCACTCCAAGCTTAAAGTCCAAGCATGATGGACTACAATCTCAATACAAATTAGTAAACTAAACATGAGATTGTAGTCCTTCATGGGATTAAGCTTGGTGCGGTGGCTACATTACAAAACACACAGAGACCATGGGGAACAAAAGTAGTCACCCTCCAGAAGTAAGGGCAGTGTCGGCATCAATTCAGAGATGATTGGAGGATCTACAGCCGGGTGATACACAAATAAGATACATTTTGTTAACAGTTAAGGTAGTTGAATGCAGTTTTAAGATTTAACTCCTGAGTTTAGAGCCACTTTACAAAAAAAAAAGAGAGTTTGGACAGAAAATTAAAAAATTGTTTGTCCTTTAAGGCCAATAAAACAAAAAGCAAAAAAAAAACCTTATGCATTATACACATGGAAGGCAAAAAAAGCAACAGGTTCACTTACCTGTTTTTCCCTCTGTAGTTGCTTGTACTTGCCTATCCTTACTTTCCCGATCGCTCCGTTCAGCTGACAGGGTTGGAGCAAAAATACCCGGTAATTCTGGGTATAAAGGACTTGTTTCTGCCATGATGCATCTCGAGGTGGCATATGTTAAAACCCAACTCTAGCCAAAGCTTTTTATAGATATAGATATAAGGGCAAGCTCAAAAAGGATAGGACGGTTCTTATTGCTGTTTGGGTGTTCCTTTACCTTATGCCAATCACTCTCTTCATTTCATGTCTTGGTATCTCAGGGACAGGAAGTTAGAGAAAATTTCCTAAAGGGGTCACAGACAGACATAAACAAAAATTAAAAAAAACTTTAAAAAGTGTTAGGTTTTAAGTAAATCGGTTCCTTTGTCCTAAATAGGTGAGTGTAATTACCACACATCACAAATGCTTCTCACTGATGCTCACATGTACAAGGCCTTATAGTCTGCAGTGTATTTTTTCATAATGGTGTACAGTGTTTTTTTTAAATTAACTTTGTGTTGTGCTTTGTGGCTATTTTCAGCTTGCGAGCTCGTTTTACTCCATCAGAGGGTGCAATTAACCAGTTACATGGCAGTTCATCTCCAGTGAGTGCAGAAAAGGAAATAAACTTTTTCTTTCCAGTAGAGCATACCTTGGCAGCTATTAAACCTGATGCAATGGAAGAACACAGAGGTAAATGAGAAAGGGACAGTCACAGAATTTGTGATATAAAAACTAATTAACAGGGC